ATCCGTTGCAATAATTCGTGCTCGCACACACTCATAACGCTAATTTAAGCGACCAGTTATAATTCTTGTGAATATTCCACTGATGCAGCCATCTCACAGTAAAGCCAAATTAATGACATTCTCATCGTGTAAGCTTCAATCTAATTTACTACCTAACCACTCAATCAGTTCAATGCTGGTGGTAATGTGTAGGATGAATGCGCATCACCGTCATCAATTTCCAGGAACTGAGCAATCAACTGCTGCACTACTTCCTCCTGCTGCTGCTGCTGCTGCTGCTCACATTTACTTTCATGGAAATGAAAGTAAACTACAAATGAAACTTCTGAAAAGCAATAAAGTTCAATGGGAAATGAAATCGAGAAAGCCTCTTACCAAATGGCCGACGTTCCTTGAATGTTGGAACGTAACCACTCAACGACATTGTCTTAACGGAACCGCACTTGAATATTATTTGTACAGCGAGAATTGAGTTGATTAAAGTGTAATCAGAACGCAACAGATGATTCAGTAAAATATTTATATATGGCAATATTGTATTTAGTGAATACTTCTTCAAATGAATACAAACAATAATAAAAATTAATGTTCAATAGAAAATAGTAACGAGACGTGAACGAACAGCTGATGATGATGTGCTGCTATAGTCACACCACTACACTCGACCTGCGAGCTAGTAGAGATGGATGGACGGATAGATACAAGACACAGCAGCACTGAGCAACACCACCCTTTCCTCGATACACACACACACCATTCATTCCAAGGTCCATTCCTCCATCCACAACACTCTCTATACATAAATCTATATCACTTCTCCATCGTTCGCTCCTCACAAATCACATGTGTATTCTATCGAATATACATCACTACATATCATATGGTTTTCATGTGAGTACCGTATAATACGCACAACCACCTTAATCATCCGCATAAGACGTAGTTTACTTTGAAGTGCTTGATACTTTTATAGAGAAATCGAAAAGGAAGTCGTCTGCTAATTCACATATGACAGAAACGGTACTGCGATGTATTCAGACATAGAATCGTACAGTAATTAGATGGGATCAAATTTTATGACTTCAAAGAGTCAATGATAGAATCGAATAGAATCGATTTGAAAAAATGAATGGAGACGCAATTAGCATGTGTGGTAGAATAATGGAAATGTCAATGTATTTTATTTGAATCATTATAGTATTAAATTAAAAAGTTTGAATCATTGTTGCTGTGTAATGCAAGCATCGTTGTAATACAATGTGAAATCAAACAAACTGTTTTATACATCGTTCAAAAAACACAAAAATTGACACATTATCAACAGAAACGTTTTCTTCGATGTGTAAACATGCATAGAAACGATGTGGTTGGCATAAGCAGATACAAAATGCAGACACAGTGTCGCCATGAAATAAAATGGAACCATAATAATCGTGACAATGACATTTTTCATTTTAATGCGATATATTCGTGAAGCACACACAAACACACATTTATATCATTTTTGATATCGCTGCCACATCAATATGTGGAGAAAGCACTTTATGTTGGGCCATAAAACGGGAATGATATGGGTACATAAAGCTTTTCATCGCATTTTTCGTTGTTGTTTTTTTTTTGTTTGCTTTCGCAAATTCTTTTTGTTCTGTTGAAATTTTGAAACAGAACAAGGGCATGAACAGAGAGCACATGGAACGTTGTTGGCTTTTTGGAGTGTTCGTTTCGACAATGCATTAATACCTGTTGTGATTATTTATTGGTTGATGGGAGGTAAATCGAATCTCACGATCGATATCAAATGTCAATTCAGCATCCATTCAGCTACTGAATTCTTGGAAATTCAAAAGGGAAATGCGTTTGTT